AGTGGCTTTTTTCTTGCAACCCTCCCATACAAGCCACATTTGTGGAGAATTTGTGATATTGTTGTCACATGCACACAATGACCACTCTTTGTCATAAATTCCTGCAACTGCTTCAGAGTTGCTGTAGGCCTCTTGGTCGCCTCTCTGACAGTTTCCTCCAGGCTCTTTCATCCAGTTTGGAGTGACGTCCTGATCCAGGGAGGGTCTGTGTTGTACCAAATACCTTCCACTTCTTAATAATAGACTTCACTGTGCTTCTAGGCATTGATAAAGCCTCTTTTTTTGTATCCATCTCCTGACTTGTGCCTTGTGCCATTGAGAAGGTGATTAGTTACACTTGAGTCAATTTTAGGAGGGGGTGATCCTTTTCCAAATCCAGTAAATACAGCTGGATAAAACAAAAAACTGTGTTTGTCTTCATTTCAGACTGCAAAGCAGTATATTTTAAAAGCATATATAAAAACCATATTTTTAATTCGTTTTTATTTTTATATTTTCTGTTTTTTTGTTATAGTTTTAGTAATTTTGTTGTGTGTTTTTAACATTTTTATTTTAAATGGCTTATTATTTATTTAGATGTGTCTAAAGTTTTCATTAACTTTTATTTCACTTGTTAGAACATCAAGACAAACTAAATTAAAATGAGAAATGTGGCAACTAGCTGAAATAAAATAAGATTTTTTAATAATTATTTTATTTTAAGTGTTAGGTTTATTTTATTTAAAGTAACAAAAATTGCTTATGGTTTTAGTTTTAGTTATAGTTATCTTTATAGAGTTTTTATTTTAAATGTGTATAGGATTTGTTTCTAAATGTTAAAATCAGACATAAGATGCAAACTGCTTTCCTGTTTAAGATTGGAGCTGACACCAAAGTACTTATCAATGTATTATACCTTATTTTTTTCAGCACTGACACTGAAGTGTTATGGATGTTCACCAGATTCAGCTGAAGCATGCACACAAACTCTAACCTGTCCATTTCGTTGTGGCTACATGACCACAAACATATTCGTAGGTAAGAAATAAGACGATCATGAAAAAAATGTGCAAATCCTGTTAGGGTTTTGTTACTGAAGGGGTTTTAAGTTGGGTCTTTGTAGATGGCAAAAATGTGGGCAGCAGCACTACAAAGACTTGCGCAGATCCTGCTTCGTGTGTTACTGGGAGCATGAATTCTAGACAAAGCAGTGACCCTCAACTCCCAATGCTGTACTACAGATTACTGCAACAGTGTAAATGCACCAGGTACGTTGATTATGAGATTTGAGTTTGAGGTCTTGACATTTTATATGTATAGATTTATAGATATGTATTTAGAATTTAATTTTATGTCAAGTCCACATATAACCTAAACATATTTGCCACAAAAGCCACTTAACGGGAAGAAATGTTTCACCTGCAGTGCCACTACAGACTGCACACATACGTTGGCTTGTGAGGGTGATGAGACTCAGTGCTTTATTACAACAGGTGAACCTTTTATTATTAGTAGTAGTAGTAGTAATACATCTATGTGTTTTGTAGCATATAGACAGAATGTCAGTAATTAGCCGTTTTTATTTAGGGCTTTAAACTTCTCCTCTTTTTTTGTTTTTTTGTCCCTCAGCTGAGGTTGATGGCAAGAAGGTGACCACAAAAGGATGTTCAAGCAAGTTGCTGTGTGGGAACGGAACACTGGCACTGGGATTACCTGTACAGCCCTATGGCTTTGGTGCTTACATGAAATGTTGTGAGGGAAACCTGTGTAACGGTGCTCAGAACTTGAGTGTTTATTTCCTGATGCTGGTACCACTTCTCTCTCTATTTGTCTTCTGATACGTGCTCTCTTTCAGTTATTTTTATTTATTGTTTTTAATAGTTTTTGCTCTTTAAAAACACATCTCTCTATTTGTGTTCTGGTACATGCTATTGAATTAACTATATAGCAAGATTAGGCCTATTTCTATAGTTTTAGCATTGAACATCTAACAATTGTCTTTGCAAAACATTTTATCTAATGCAATGACATCTAGGCCTATACATTTTTTTTTACATTTAGTTTAAGTGTGTGGCCAGTGTACGTGTCTTTGGACGCTGACTGTTTGAATGAGCCTCAGGTGATCCACATCAATGTAAAATAAATAAATAAAATATCCATCTCAGGTCTTAACATTGTACATCTAGCAACGTTTATAAATATATACTGTATATATACTGTATATAGGGTACAATGGGGCTAAAGGCGCCCCGGGGTAAAACGCGCCTTTGATATTATGTTCATATAAACCACTAGATGGCACAAAAACATGGCGTAGCACTTTCCAAAACATCCGCTTTTCAAGATGCATGTGTATATTTGTCTGATCCTTGACGCGATCACGCGCAGCATTGCAGTTGATTCTGTGCTTACTTGATCTAATATTTTATGTTTTTTAAAATGTTGTAGATTTAAGTAGCAAATGAGAATCGCTCAAATTAATGCATATATTTTGAGACAAACGTCTTCTTTATGATTTTCAGTTTTGTTTAAGATAATTAAAGCAACAGTTTTTAAATAACGAAATAATATGTAAAAGCATGGTATTTGGGGTAAAAAAAAAAGCGCCCCTGCTGTTGGGGCAAAAGGCGCAGTAATTAACATGATAATTAATAGATGGCTGACTTTTCCATTTGTTGACATGCCATGGTTATTCAGATGGCAAATATCATATATTATGTTGGGTGTCCATATTAGAGATAATCACCATGTTTAGAATTAAACCATCATATTTAAAAACATATTAATCATATCACATAATAAAATGTAATTTGTTGTTACTACTGTAAATATATATTCAATTATTATTGGATCTCCTTTAATACTTTCAGAATCTTTACTTATTACAACGATTTTGTTTCTGTATTTTCAAATATTTTTTTTATATTAACATGTTTTAATGAAAGTATATTTATTGAAAAAAAAAAATTCTTTTATTTTTCAAAATAAGCAGAAATAGTACAAACTTTGCGAAAGTGATTGTTTTGAACAAGTATTAACTTAGACATTATTTAAAAACAAACAAACATTATTTTAGCTGAAGTATTTGTATCACTACCGTGTGCCTTTTACTCCGTGCTGGTGGGCCTTTTACCCCGCGTGTGGGGTAAAAGGCCCCTCTTGCCACCTCATACATTTATAAGATTTTTAAACAAAATAAACAACTTGAATGATTTATTTTCACACAAAATCTGTTGCTCCATTAATGTTCAATACAACGTATATATTTTTTCTGCAATTATACATTTTGGGCACAGCGAATGGCACATTTTTTCTTAAGGTGGGCCTTTAGCCCCGTTGTTCCCTAATATATATATATATATATATATATATAGATATACTTATTTTGAAAAAAAAACATTGTACATTTATAAGACTATACTTTGTGTTATATCTATTTAAGCAAATGCTAAAAGGTGAAAAGGGTCTATTGAGGAGATGAAGACCTCTGGTGGTGGTGGAGGGGACTGTAGTAGATGTGGAATATTTTTAAAGATGCTTTCCTTACTCTCCAGAATGTTCAAAATGATCTTGTTTTCCATTTGAGCATCTTTATGTATATATCTATGTCAACTGACTATCCTCATGTAAACGGTTTCATAGCACCGTCCATTAACACTATAGCTGCCACTGGCTTACTCTACAAGGGTTAACCAGGACTCTCAGCCAACCTATAGTTTCACGTAAATTCTGAGCTAAAATAAAATGTTATAAAAACAGTTTAAATGGGTCATATCATAAAAAAGTTATTTGAATATATACTGATTTGAAAAGAATTCAGAAACTAAAAGTGACCATTTCCATAAGAAGATGTGACATTAAAAATTTAAGGGGGAAAAAAAACAACAACAACTGTGTCCTGACAGTAAAAAATATCATGCAGTAGAGAGACTGAAGAAGCTTATGGATTTGTTTGGCCTACCAACATTGATCCTTGTAGCCATAATTATAGTACTGTAAACTGCTATGATTGTATCATTATTTGATAAAGAAAGGTTTCAATGCAGGTCTGTTATGAAAAAGAATATAAATATTTCATATTTTTTAATAGTTTTGGTTTTTAAAAGTCTTATTATATGAATTAAAATATAACAAAATAAAATAAAGATGTACAACAATAAAATTACATCATGAGTTTTTATTATTATTATTATTATTATTAATTAATTAATTATTATTATCACAACAGAAGTAACAGAGGTACATATCAGTGGAGGGCCTTTAATTATTGTCTTGGATGAAGGGGGACCTTGAAAACCAATGCTGTATAGTGCATTTAAAATATTCATACCTCATTTACAAACTATTTGAAAAAAATATTTAAAATACAAAATAATCCTTAACTAGACAGAATTGTGTTTGTGATGATTATTTTGATCAAAACCTGATTTACTCACTGCTTACATGTTTTATTTCATAGCAAAATAAATGTAACAATTATACAATAACCAGTTAACACTACTATGTTTCTTGCAATTTATTCCTTTGTAGTCAATAAAACCTAATTTCTATAGTCTGTCATATAGTGACAAGTGCAGGCCATGTTACTACAGCACACCAACATTAGCTTCAGACAATAAAACTACTGTGTGGTGGTCGAACATAAGCTGTTCCCACAGGGACACAGGCTGAAGTCATCCTGATCATATTCCTGATCATATTTCTCCCACTTCTTTCCTGTTTATCTCTACTGCCCTACACATTAAACACATGCATTCTCCATCTCTTTCACACACACACATACTATATATTATCATACCAGTATCCATCAATAAACCAACAAGTTTCAAGTTTTCAGATTCACTATAGGAACTTCAGCTGAGAAAATGATGTTGTGTGAGACGGAAACATTTCAAAAAAAAAAAAATTTTTTTTTTTTTTGAGGGCCAGTATCAGTTTCGTCATGTTTCATGTTTCCTCACAGGCTGAGGGATGTAGTCTCCTGTCCCTCCATTCTCATCTCAGTCTGAACTCAAATCAAAATGGCACAGCCTCTCCTCTTTATTCTCATGAGTGCACTTTTCTACAAAGGTAATTGTTGGAATTTTTCTTTATGCATATTTTACTGTTAAGTATGTTTGATAGAGTTTTCTATAGTGCATTGTGTAACGGTGTTAAAACAGATATTTAATAGATTAAAATACAGAACTGAATCTTTGTACATCAATATTGTATTTCCTTAATGTCCTATACATTGCATTATATCATATTTTTCTGAATATATGTTTTGACCAGACTTTTCTAAAAGGACATTTTTATTTATTTATCTATTTAAATTGGTTGCACTTTTTGTTCAATTTCAGTAAATTCCCTAACCTGCTATCAGTGCATACCTGAGACATCAATTAAATGCACTGAAACTAAAGTGGAGTGTCCTGTTGGTCAATGTGGGACCATGAGAACCACATCTTATATGGGTACGTTTTGAATATTTGAACTGAAATGGTATAGCTTTACTTTTTTGTTTTAAAAATGAGGCTAATTTCTGCTGTAGGAAACAACACATTGGCTGACATGATTAGGAAGAACTGCTCTACAACTAATCAATGCGTGACTGCATCTGCAAACTTTGGAATTACAAAAATAGTCATCAACAATCAGTGCTGCAATACTAACCTGTGCAATTCCCAGACTGAACCAGGTACGGTTAACACAGGAGGAAGAATATTATTATGTGACAATAAAATGCACATGCTTAATTCAAATTATTTACATCAGACATGACTTCCACTGGAGTACAGCATATTTTGTTGCTTTATATGCATGTTTCTTAGAATCACCCAAAATGATCCCAAATGGAATGCAATGCTACACTTGCAATGGAGAAGACTGTGTGTCATCTTTACCTTGTGTTGATGAGGAAGATCATTGTATCAAGGCAACGGGTAAGATACGATAAAAATCGTCACAGAGTAAACAAAGCTCTATAGATTACCATTTATATATTTACAAACTACACTTAATGTACAGAAAAGGGTCTTTTTTTAAAGAAAAAAATCTAATTAGATTTTTATATTCATTATTTTTAAATTACATAATATCCTAAATATCAGAATATATAATTTTGTGTAATAAATAATTTATATTTAAAGTAAAAAAAAAAGTAGGTCGGTTTAAAATTCAGCTTTGCAGTCACAGAAACAGATTACTTAAAAAAAATGTAAATATAAAAGTTGTTTTAAATTTGTAATAATAGTTCAAAATATTAGTTTTTACTGTTTTGGTCATATAAATACTGCCTTGATGAGCATAAGAGACTTCTTTGAAAAACGATGCATAATCTTAAGGAACCCACACTTTTGAATGCTGTACATTCAATTGTATTAGACAACTTTTGTTCGTTTTAAAAATGTTATTGGTTAAATATGAGATATAATATGAGCCTAAGGGTATTTCTGACATAATGTCACAGGAGTCGAGCACTGCAGGCAATGAAACTGTTTCATTTTTCAAAGGCTCACTGCCCCAAACAAGATTGTTTTGTGTCGTTGTTGAAAGTTTTTGTAACATTTTTTCCTCTATAATAGCAGATAGCAGAATGACTGTGATCCTCTTTATTTCATCATTTTTCGACAGTCTTTAGTGATGGACATATGATGACAATGAAAGGATGTGTGACCAGAAGTTTTTGTATGGGTGAGCTGTCCACCAAGATCAGCCAGTCCAGCATAGCAGCGGACCAGAGCTGCTGTAAAGGACATCTCTGTAACAGAGCTCAAACCGCTAGCGTGAGCCGCTCGTTTCAGCTGGGCATTCTGATGTGTGCAATACTACAGATGTCATTTTGAGCTTCAATTGCCATGAACCTCTGATTCTCGTGATTTTTAGTTTTACAAAACAATAAAATCCAGCCAACATTCTTACATATTGGTTATATCGGTTAAATGATAATCTAAATATATATTAATGTCTGATTCTATGATGTGTGAGCATTGGTGTCATTAGTGTTCTTGTCAAGTTGTTACTTTTGTATATACTGAAATTTTCATTTAGCCATTTTTGCCTCTCATTTGCAATATTCACAAAAAAACAGATATAAAAAGACTTTGCAAACAATGGACATTTACTGCATTTTACTCTTCTGTAACACATCTTTGGTCCGAACAACCTATTCCTGAGAGACTGGGGTGTATAGTGTTCAGATGTTTGATTATTTTCCTTTCAAGAGGGTGTAGATTTAGGTTTCTACATGGAATTAAGTTTCAACACTAATTTTATGCCTTGGGCCTCTGAATTGTTGTGGACAAAGATGAAATCTGATCATCTCAAAGCATCTCTTTGTGTTAC